CCCCAAAACCCCAAAACCCCAAAACCCCAAAACCCCAATAAATTATCATTTCATTGAAACTTTATGCATTTCTTAGTCAAAGAGGGTTAAACTCTTAGACCTTCTAGGTACTTTATCAAAAACAGGGATATTATGAATAGTACCAAACCAATAAGACCTTTCCAAGCCTTCTTTCTTGGAACAGTTTCTTCGAACCAGAACATCCTTTCTTTAAATGCTGTCTCTTTCAGCTTCTTTAGGCTAAACTCTATTCTTTCTTTTGGAGTTCCGTTGAAAATCAAGTTGTTCTTGTCAGTGTTGGATTCACCATAATAGAAGAAATTGAGAGCTGTGAGTCCAACCCTTGAGATGTATTCCTCAGCATTCTTTCAAGACACGACAGAAGGGAACTTGTATCTAATAGTGATCCACCCGATGTTCCTACGGGAGATTTTACTTTGTCTTTGCTCGATATTTTCAGTGACAAGTCGATTAACTTCGTTAGCCTTCCTCTTGAGGTCCCTTAAGTAAGACTCTCTTTCCTTGGCATCTTCAAATTCAGGGAACTGATCACGGATGATGGCTCCTCTGGCAAACCAGAGCTTTTCCTGCCCTTCAGGATATATTTCCTGTCTGTTCTCAGGGATGAAATAGTCTTCAGCTCTGAATCTCTCGAGGGATTTTATCTTGATGATAGTCCTATTATCCATAACTCTTCTATATTCCTCAATTTTTACAAGATATCCTAATTTTTCGGCCCTTTTTCGGATGATCACGAATTTCCTATCTCTCTGAAGCACAAGGTTAATCATGTCATGGTACCTGGGCTCAAAGATTCTGAGGAAGTCATTGCTACCAGGAGTGACATGTCCCATGATGAAGAAAACAGGGATTTCAGAGAAGTTGTCTTTCTCCTTGAGCTCTTCTTCCAGTTCCTTTACTCTTTTGTCATGATAGTATTGCCGCTTTTTGACTCTTTTTGGAAAACTCTTTTCGATGACATTTCTTAGAGCTATATTCACCTTTGCGTCATTCATGAAGCAATGCTCACTGCAGAGAGGGCATTTTTTGAAGTCTTCAGTTAGACAGGCTTTACAAAATGTGTGCCCACACATTGTACAGACTGGCTCGAAGAGCAAGTCAAGGCAGATTGGGCAGACAAGGTTATCATCTACTGGCTCTAGCTTCTCTTCAGCAAATTCAGCTGGCTCGTCTTCTTCTTTAAAGAAGTTAGTGTCATCAACCCCAGCTCTGATTTCCGCAGCCTTGTTCTCTTCTGCTTTGTTTTCCTCTGCTTTCATTTCTTCGGCCTTTTGTTCCATATTTTTCTATTTTATATATGTGTCAGGGGTTTTGGGGTTTTGGGGTTTTGGGGTTTTGGGG